GCCGGTCAGCGCCGCGGCCGGGAGTCGTTTTGCATCCGGTTTTGGGAGGGTAGCAGGAAGCCCAGGACGGCGCCTGGCTCTTCCTCAGGGGAGGCGATACGGTGCATCACGCACACACACAGTCGGCACAGGAACTCTCACCATGTTTTCCCCTCGCAGCACGTTCACGCCCACACAGAATGGTACCTTTCCTACTGAAACAGCCATTTTTCCTTGTACCTTTCCCTGATGTTTCTCACATAAGCAAATCTGTCGTTCGAGTTCACAGGCTGCAGCAGATTCTCGAGAGAGAAGCTACTAAGTGCGTTTGGAAAATGACGGGTAAGGACAAATGCTAGTAAAACCGCTGTTTACTTCAGGCCCGGGTACGCTGCTGTATGGCGTATCTGTAACGTTTAGTTGGGATACTATGGTATCACTTTTTCAAATGGCTGAAATTACTGAAGTAAACGATGCCGTTGAATAGGATGGTGCCTGCGTGCCCCCGGCTCCACTGAAATGGAAGCAAACCCTGCAGCGCGCAGAATTAATCGATCAGGCCTGTGAGCTTGTGTCACCTCCAGCCACTGAACTACCTAGGTATTTGCTTTAGGGGCAGCAGGAACAGCAAAGATGTACCTGCTCTTGATAGTCCAGAATAAGTTATGGAGCAGGGGTTTAAACAGTTTATACAGGTGTTAAATTTATGATAGCATCTGACTATTACACAAATCGTAATAGTCTTTTGGCAAAGCTGTTGTTTCATGGACACTATGCACACTGGAGAAATAATCACCCCTTATAATTTGGGTTAAAATTGAGGTATTGCTTCATCAAGCCTTCTGCTCTGGTTCTGTTAATTATCTCTGACACCTTAAACTCGCCTGTCACCCTGGTGATGCTCTGGGCCGTACAGCTTCTGTGTCCCCTGGAGAAACCAAGCGCAGGAGGTGCCTGAGTTTTTGTGTTGGCAGTTAGGAGCCAAGAGCTGCATGTTTTGCAGATCCAGTAATTTTCAATAGTCCCTGGGAATTTCCCTCTCTGCAGTGTTTATACATAAACAGCTACTACCCTGTAAAAGTACTTCACCTTTCCCTTGCATTCAGTGCTGAATGATTGTTTTTAGAGAATTATTAAAACTGAATGGCCTATGTTCAATAAAATTTTGAACAAGTAAGCTCTAATACCCCTTGTTACATTGGTTTAAGAAGCTCCAAGCCAGTATATCAGTCTTGCCACTGAGCTTACCTTAAATCCACTTTGTCAGCAGTTTGAGATACACTAGACAGCTCACTCTCGCATCTAAGAAAAAAATCATGTTACTTTCTGTTGCTGAAGTGGGATAGTGGCATCTTAAACATCTGCCCAGATGTTGTCACTTGCACAGCACTGAACTGGAAGATGAGGGGATCCAACATTGCAGTAGGAAGATGCTCTGAGCTCTCAGAAGTTGTTTCCACAACATTTTGAGGGAATCTAAGCTGGCACCGCTCTGATCCCAGCCTGCTCCTCACAGTTGCACTGTAGCTTGTCTGACCCAGACTAGGGGGCTAAACCAGCAGATGACTTTTTTTTTTCCCCCTGTTGTTGGATGCGTTTTTTTTGGGGGGTAGTGGAGTCAGATAAACACAAATGCTGACTCAAGAGGAGGGACTGGGTTGTGCTGGTGTAGGGCAGAGTGACCTGCTATGGAAATACATCCACTCTCCACTGAGTTCAACCTAGGAAAGCCTAGTGTCGCACAAAATTACTGGTATGGGGCATCCACTGATTAGCTCCTCATGAGTCACTTGCTGCTGCTGAGCAGGAGTCAAATGCTGCCACTGTCATTCTGTTTTCACTTGCTTTGTGCTGCTTGGAAAACAGGCTACAGAAAAATGAAGGACCAGGCCTCAGCTCCACAAACTGCTTTGTATCTGTCCCCTATACTCAAAGGTATCTTCTGGTTTTCTTTCTGCCTCCAGGGAGAAAAGTCCTGATAGTCTATGCACATCAAGAGCCCAAGTCCTTTAATGGATCTTTGAAGAGGGTTGCTGTGGAAGAATTGAGCAAGCAGGGCTGCAGTGTCATGGTGTCTGATTTATATGCAATGCAGTTCGAGCCAAGAGCAACAAGAAATGACATTGTTGGTGAGACCAGCCAAAATACACTTTTTTCAACAGTAATGATGACACAAACTTTCACCTTGTCTATCCTACTGTATTAACAATCCAGAACCATGCTGTTAGGTGCACTCTGAAAAATACTTGCTGCTCTTTTGTACAAATATCCCACAACTAACAAGACCCGGCTTTTTATTTTCTATTAGCATTGACTAAGAAATGTCAGTGTAGGAACCCAACAGTATCATCTTTATTTAAATCTGATCACTAGAAATGACCTCTCAATCAGAGAAATGTATCTATAATAGTACAGATTTGTAAAACAGTGTTTTGCCTTTAGACTAAAATGAATGAGGGAAGCTATTATTTTTACAGTATTTGCAATCAACTGCAGAGACGTTCTAAGAACCACCTTCTCTTAACGAACAAGATTACAAATGCTTTCTATAAGTTAGCTCCGGGCACTTAAGTGCTCGGGCTTTTGAGTTGTCTTGGCACCTCCCGACTACCTTGGTAGTATATGATTACTAAAAATTACTAGATGATGCAGTTAAGACTTGCAGAAAAACAGTGATATTCTTATTAGGCTTATGTGATATTTTCACTGTGCTCTTACTAGCATTTAGCCCCAGTATTTTTCCAGGTTAGGAAACAAAAAGCCATAACATAATCTGCAACAGCTGAAATTCTTTAAAACAAGAATCAAAACGAAATAGCACAGGTCCAGTGCAAGCACTGGCAAAACCAAGAAGAAACTTATTAATGACCAGACATAAGCATTTTTAAAAGTCCACTCCCGAGTATGAAACTTGTTTACAGTGACATTACTGAGAGGGAAAAAATGCATTAGCACGTGTCCACAATCAATCTCTGAAGTCCATTTATTGTGGGTGAGAAATGCCTTCAGATACCATTTGATGACTTGCTAGAGGCTACTGCCTCTTCTGCTAGAGATTGATGATCTACAAGTTTTATCAGCAGAATGAATGTCTATGTCTGATTCAGACATACTTGAATCAGCTCACCCAACCGTAGTGGAGTCAGCAGAGCCAGCCGATACTGGTTCTCCAGCCCCTGCTGAGTTTCCCAGTTATGGAGGCTGAAAAGCAGCTACATAATGCTTGTGACTGCATGGTGGTTTCAGTAATCCCTAATGCAGAGACAGAGCAATTGGCAAAATTTTCTTAAGTCCTCTTAAATCTATATGACCAGTGTCTTGAGCCAAGCTTAGATCGTCTTTTGTACTTCATATGTTGCTACAGAAAGGTGAAAGTTTTGGTACTCAAAAATCAAACTACCGTCAGCTGTGATGATGCTGAATATCCACACACAAAAAAAAGAAGAAAATGGGAAAAAATGGAAAGCAGTAACTCAATTTAGAACTGTAGATTGCAATTTAATTCTTATCTGGCTATGATGCTAGAAACAGGGTGAGCAATAACTGTTCAATTCTACCCACAGGTTGCTTGCACAACTCGGAAGAGTTCAATTATGGCATGGAGACTTGGGAAGCTTACAAGAGAGGAGTTTTGTCCAACGATCTGATTGAAGAGCAAAAGAAGGTGCAGGAAGCAGACTTACTGATTTTTCAGGTCATTATTTTAAATTGTATTAAAAGACTTCAGTTGTAATGTACAGGGTTGAACAAAAGAAAAGCAATAGTAAGTGAGAAGATGATAGATTTCATTAGGAACATTGAATCTAGCCAGAGTAAAAAGAGGTGGTAGTTCTGCCATCAACACAAACCAGTCTGTATCCAGTGTAGCAATTTCAAGGTGTCAGGTTTTCCTGATAGGATGTGGATTTTAGAAAATATAAAAAATGCCAGATCATGTGTAAGCATTAGTCCTGCTAGCACAGTATGAATTTTTCACACAAATAATGGCTCCACACTGGCATTTTTGAGGAGTAGGAAGGCATCTGAAATTGGAACCTTAAAATACCTGAGTAAAATTCACAGCAGTGCTTCACTTAAAAGTAATCTCATGGCATAGGTTTTTTGAAGACTTGTACTCACGCTACCTGCATTCCAAAACTATTGCATAGAGAAACTTAGACCAGGAAGTATTGAGTGCAAAATAATACTACAATTCTCAATATCAGAATCATGCCATATTAGCAGGCAGCCTGATACCATCCTTTTGGCGTGGAGCTCACGCAAAGCAAACACAGATCTACATGCAGAAATGTGTGAAGGCAGCCCTGCCAAGCTGCAGGTTTGGGATACAGTAACAGACACCAGACCAACAGCTTTTAGGAATAAACCTTTCATCTCTAAGTAGTTGTATGATAACAGATACAGATCAGTAACACAATTATCCAGGTCATTACAACAGCAAATCCAGTACTTCAGTAGCACAATTCATAGAATCATTAAGGTTGAAAAAGACCT